TGGAATACATTTTAAAAGTAACCTTCCCAACACTGATGATCACTGTTGCTGTGGTGTACATCAGTCGGTTTCAGTAATGGTCACAGTAGGGATTGTTTCTAATGCTGCATTCACATCGTCTAGTAGACTTTCAGAGGGTACTTCATGTTTTCCAGCTTAGCCATGACCTTCACTTTCGGGTCAGCTGCTCTCACATTCAACACCTTCGACGCACCAGTTGCTCTTAGGGCTTGGTACCCAATCTCTGAGGGTGGTGATAATGACATTTCCCCCTGACCCAACATCCTAGCTCTGCCTTGCCGCAGCATTTGTGCTGTACCTTGTCATCCTCTAGCTGCTGCTTGTTTCATGCGTGTGTATGAATGAAAGCAGTTTGTAAAGCAGTTTAATGTGCAGACTGGGTCACCATCATTTGTGTTTTTGTCCTCTTCTTTTCTTCTTTTTTTTTTTTTTAAATAGAAAACATTCATTTGCAAAATTTACAGAATGTATGGAAAATAACTAAAACTAACCCAGAAGTGTAGACTGGCTGGGAGAAGTTGAAGAGGATGTAGTCACCCTGGAGGGGAGTTATTGCCCAGAAGAAATCTCGTCCTTCGTAAGCACTTTTCAAACTGTGCGTCTGGTAGTGTTTCAAAGTGCTGCTCACCTCTGCAGGTGGGTTATTGTGAGCCTTGTACAGCGTCTGCTTCCCAAAGTCTTTGTCCTGAAGTGGATAAGAGAAAGAAGAGAAAAATATCTTTGCACATACCACAGCACATCCACAGGCGAGAACACTTAACAACATGAATGAATGATTCTGGGTCAAAAACACATACAGTTAAAGCTGCACATTCACATTATATGCCAGTGTTCATGTTAAATCAGGTTGTGCTGTCATGTAGCTACTCCATGACAAACACCATCATTCTTTCACACTCATCTCAGTCGCTTTCTCTTGTCTTGAACTCTATTGTCAGCTAAGCAAACAGCAGATCAACAACATTTTTTCTGCTCAGGTTAAACTGTATGGCTGATCCTATAGGGCCTTGGAGTTGACGTCACGCCGCAATGCACTGTGGGAGCGCGGCACCATTTCAGCAGGCCACGAATCAAAACAACCACACTGTGTTGGAAGGAAGATTGCTACGAACCACACTTAAAAGCAGCTCAAAATAAAAACGACGGTATAGAGACAGATTGCGTCCGGATGCAAAGACACGGTACTTGCAAAAAATAGCGTGCATTGGAAATGTGGACCCGTATGAAATAACGACAGTGGAGTAGAAACACTAGGCCAACCGCTATTGACTTACGGTGTGTCCACACCGAACAGAGCGTCAGGTTTACATGTAAAGTCAATGGAAAAGCGCGATGACACGCGATTGCGGATCCCGCGAAAATTCGGAAGCAGATTTGCGTCGCGAAAACACGTGAAACGCGCGTCAGTGTAGCGTGTCAGTGTAGCGCGTCTGGCGCGTTTGACTCGCAAACAAACCCAGTTTTTGAGTTTTTGTGTTGCATTTTGTGCATACGCGCGTTTCGCGTCTACCGCTCGAGTTGGAAAAATCTGAACTCCAGCGTCAAATCGCGCCGCGACAACCAATCAGGAGCCTGGTGACGTGGCTCTGACCTAGGTCAAAGGGGCAGATCCAGCCAAAGCCCTTCATTCTTCAATGGAGGGATAACCCATAATGTTGTATTTAGGGGGTCTGCATTTGTGCCTGAAGTGCATTGCCATGTAAATAATTAGCATTCACTGAATATGTACTTACTAAGTAACACTGTTCAAAAGTTGAATAAAGAAACAAATAAATGTTTGCCTTTAATTAAAACATCACATCAGTTACAATGTAGAATCAATGTATAGTTTACAAATGACAAAATGTTCACATAAAATCATGAGAGCATTTAAATAATATCACCCGCTGCTAGCATTCTGTCTCTTTTGAAAACTTATCACTACATATACAGCACAAGACTTTTGAGAGTATTTAACAAGAGCATTTCCCCTGGTTTTACTACCACACTCGGGCACATGTTCACCAAAACGCAGCAAACCTTCACCATCTTATCCAGAAGGGTCACCTCTTCACCCTCACATGGAAGAAGTAATCTGAGTGGCCTGGTGGTGTGTAGCATGTGGTTTGAAGCAGGGATTTCGTAGTGCCCCAAGTGTAGCGCTGGAACCCAGTCAGGATTTGTTTCATCCGTTTCATAGACTGGTTTGCTGCAATAATGACGAACAATTAGCAACTCTATAAAGAGAATGTATATAATAATTATAATTCTATAACTGTTTATAACTTGCATAGTTCATATTTCTGTATAGTTTTCATATTTATATCCTGTTCATAGTCTGTACATACTTATAGTTATAGCATATTCATAACATACCTTCATACTGTGTACATTGTAACATACCCATAATTGACCCATATTTTGTACCCTCATACCTATAACAGACCCGTTTCTGTAATATAGCTATATTATGGCTAAAGCCCTTCTGGATGGATGCAAACTGCATTTCGTTGCCTGTACTTGCGACATGTGCAATGACAATAAAGTTGAATTCTATTATATATATCTACAAAATCACTCATTAGGATGTTTGTTCTAATTTGCTACGACCTCAGAGCGCATTGAAAATACAACTATTAGGCTATAAAGAGTGATATGAACTTATTTAGATCTTACCTGAATGAAAATGTCTGGAGCAGCAACAGATATCTGGAGATGGAGATGAACTGGATATCAGCTCGTCTCACAGCTGCTATCCAGGCTAGACGCCTTCTTTCGGTAACATCCGACACATGAGCTCCCTCATGTTGCTTCCAGGTGGGGAAATGATCAAAACAGAGCCCATTTTCTAGCTTATTCCCTTCCCGATCGTGCGATCTAACATTACAACCGACAACACAGCAAGTGCGAACCACTGCTGATGGTTTCGCTCCTTTGTTTGGCCTGCTAAAATGGTGCCTCGGCGGTCACGCCCCCTCCCGTGACATCACGCTCCAAAGCCTTGAAGTGTTTCACAGGAATGCTTTTCATTGCTCAGCTGTCACACCTCATTTAACTCTACTAGTTTCACAGGTAGTTCACAGAGCTGTTTTACCACCCTGTTCACCTTTAGCCTTCTTCTGTTGTTTAAGTCACGTTTGACACATTTCCTGGTTCATATTTGTAAAACAGCTTTTAAATATTTAAATCTGAAAAAGATTTTACGAGTCTTCAATAAAGGCCTACTAATGTAACAGAAGAAAAGATGACTAGAAAAGCACCTTCTCTTTTACTCCCACTCAGGTGTCCTGACACCATTACCACCAGATTCTAGTAATATGCAACCCCTGCACATGTGACCCTTGAACCTCGTTATCAAAGCTCTTTTTAACAAATGAACTGTAGAGAATGTTCAGCAGGGGACATTAACATCAGCCATGTTCTCACCAATGACCTGATTGGTTTAGGAGAGTGCTGCCCGAGTAGTGCTCGAAGCCTGAATTTAATCTGCACAAATTGGTTTGGGTCGAGACATTTGCATTCTCACCTCAACCTCCACTGAACAGAAAAGCTCAGGGTACATGCACGAAAATGGCCATTTACAGTCAAACGCATTTTATTTACTCATTGGCATTTTACAAGATGTCATCTGGTTGATAGAGTCCAAAGAGGCAATTTTACATTTACTTTTAAGTGTTACAAGTGTCATAAAGAGTAAATCAGACTCCTGCTGGACTTTGACTGAGCTATTCCAACACCCTGCCGTTGTCCTGTTGCATTACCCAAATTAGCCCAGGTGTTATCTTTACACCTGGCCTTACATTCAATTGGAATAGACTTTGGTATAGGGAGGAGTTCATGGTCGACTTGGTGGCTTCACAGATGGTATGAGGAATACATGTGGATGCACTGCGTTTTGTTTTCACCAAATATCCCCAAACCTTCATATCCATCATGAAACACGTTTCCTGGGAGTCAAAGGAACTTTTTTTTTTTTCTTCTTTAGGTCACGAGCAGTTGTCCAAGCATTTCACTGCATATCGTACTGTGTATGACTGTGTATGTGACAAATAAAATTTGAATTTGAATTTTAAAACCGGTTCTTTTGTATTCTTTACGGCCAAGAAAGACACAGCTCAGAAGTGGTCCTTTTACTTTAAAAATGATCTTTATTTTACATATCCTTGATATGGAGACCTGAACACAAAACACACAACCCCAGGTCTGAAGCACAAACGGAGGTATTTATATACTTGCTCTCTACATCACACCACTATAAGTTTCAATCAAAGACTCTGCTTAGTTTCACTTTCTGGCTGCAAAAGCATGCAGTTCCCTGTCAGTGCTTTTTGGCACAGACTGTACTCAGAGTTAGGCCTCTCTTATATTAAAACAATATAATCAGCAAATACGCATTCGGATTATATATTCAAACCCCAACAGAACTCTCACCTTCAGATGCTGCAGTTTTCCGGGCAGAGAAGAGTGGAGACCAACATGCTGAAAGAGGGAAGGCTTGTACCTCTGCTTGAGTAGTGCCTTCTGCTCTGTGCAGTGTTTCTATATACAATATGAGAACATGTGAGTTTGAAACGCACTGTAAAAGCTGCTCTTTACAACAACAACAAAAAAAACAAGCAATAGGAAAAAATGTACTGTTCAATGCTTTCTCAGTACTGGAAATACCATGCTTTGTATAGACAAGAGGTGTCATCTGCATAGAGTGTGTAGAGTCTGAGTCCCAGATCTATTTAACCACAGATTTATTTAGAGATTTATGCTCCATTTTAACAAAAATCTACAACAACAACGTGTTTTTTCTTATTTGTAGGGCTGTAACAAACAGCAAAGTGTGTAAAAAAAAAATGAAGTGGTCTGACTCTTTCCCAAAACACAAATGAATCTATACTTTGCATTTCTTGACTCTTGATATAACTGACTTACATCATCTTTCTCGGGGTTGCAAACCTTCACCCACAGAATGTGATCCAGCAGCCAGTCAATAGGTTTGTCTCTGTGAAACATGAGGAAGAACTCGGCGATCATTGGGAGGTCCCGGGTGCGAAACAACTTGCCTGGAGAATCACACATACACACAAATGCATTCGTGTAATATTACCTAAAAAAATCCACACACACACACAAAAAAATCACTTCAGTATTTTACACAAAAGCACACCTATAAATCCAAGCTGGGAGAACTCAAGGTAGAGCCATGGCTTTGACGCTTCGTTTGTGGCGTAGGCCTTCATCTCGTCATAGTAGCCCGACTTAGCAACAACATCATCCTCTAACTGGAAATCAACAGACAACAAATAATAATTTGCTCCTTTATCCTTTTTCTTAGTTATCCTAAACGTAACAGGACTCTGTGCTGCACTTAGGCATTCGACCACACATTTTAGATCTGCTTAGCTTGTTAAAAACAGACGTGTCAGGAAGTAGACACTATTTATAAAAAGTTTAAACATAAGCACAGCTACAGCCCAATCAGACCACTCCTGGTGAAAAGGAGAAAGAGTTTACAACAGGCTATCATTTCAGACTTTTGTGTTTCACATTTCTGTGATGTCATCTTTGGGTCTTCTGTAAGCATTTATAGTCTGAGCTCATCTGCAGTGCCCCTACCCAGACAAGCAATGTGAAAGCGAAAGATATATAAGGAAGAATTATAACATACAAAGCTACTCTGGCTGATATCACAAACAAATAAATGGTGCTAAAAATAACTTTCCTGAAACATGATATGCAAAACACAATAGAAATAAGGTGTTTAATAAATAATAACTAAAGTCTGACCCTAACCTGAACATAAAACGTTCCTTTGTCTTGAGCGTAGAGCATGAGGAAGCTGAAGTCCAGATTCTGTTTTGTTCGCCATCTAAAATCAAACAAGAAGCACAAATATAACCCGAGCAGAAATTCACTCACCTTTTTGGTTTTGGTACTCACTGTGTGTTTATACACCACTCTGCATTCAATAAATAACAGTTTATTGTTTAACACACCAAACACATTATAAGTCTCCTACTCTTCATCATTTATTTATTAGGTTATGTAGTGTATATGTTGGTTTTGTGTCCTCTGTGCCACTGCAGCACCTACTCTATTTTCTGCACTATAAGGCGCTCTTAAAAATCCTTTAATATTCTCCAAAATCAACAGTGCGCCCTATAATCTGATGCGTCTTATGTATGAATTCTGGTTCTGCTTACTGACCTTGAACCGATTTTATGTGGTACACGGCGCTCAAAAATCTGTCAAAAAATGTTTTAGTACGACTTTGGTTGCTACGAAGCCGCACAACTTGATGGATTGTTGGAGCATTACGGCTACCATAGGCAGGAGCCTCGCGCAGTGATCTGGGTCCTAAACTCCGTCATCCTCAGGTCCCAAAGTCAAACAAACACTGCAGCATCACTGAGAGTTAAAAATTGTCTAAATTCTTTCATCTTTAATAAAATGATCAGCGTTGCTGCTTTACCAGGTGTAACAATTAAGTTTAACATCCAGGCATCCATGAAAACAGAATTTATTAAATTTAACGGAGTTAGAAGTTAGCAGGAAGTTAGCTCGCTAGCTTCCACCTAAACATGATATAGCATGTTCTGACTGACAGATTTGTGAGAAAATTCAAACGTACAGCTCTGCTATCACTTCCAACATAAATGAAACTAAACAGCAGTGACGTTTGTAGCATTACTAAAGTTCGGCTACCTGGTATATAATGTTGTGCTACGTGATCGCTGGCGACACAGCTATGCTAGCATAACATAAACACAGTGAAGCTGGAGGATGAACGCTAACTTTTTTTCCCCACTCGACAAAAATGTTAATGCGAAGGTTCCCGATGGTTCTGGACAAATGCAATCGCATGGCAGGATTCTGTAATGTATAATCTGGTGCGCCTTATGGTCCGAAAAATACGGTAAAAAACACTTCAGAATTACCATCACTGACAAAACATTTGTAGCATTTAGAGACTGCATCATGTGATTTTGTATATGCACCGTACTTGACTCTTTCTTTGGAGTCTCCAAAAGTCTCCTTAAGGCTGGCGAAGTCAGGGTAGTAATACTGTGAAGGAGAGATGACCTCCAGCAATCCAGACTGCACCTCCTTGGGAAAACTGCAAAGAATGAGCTAGTTAACTGCAGAGATCAACATCAAGATACAAAGGAAATAATAGACATTCTTTGTTAGTATTTAGAGGTTAATCAAACAGTTATGTGTATGCTAACAAAATATGTAATAACAAGTCTTATGAACTGTAGGGCGTTTCATTCTCACACTTTACCTAGTTGTCCTGAAAAGTTCTTCCTAAATCACAGATCAAACATTGTATTTGACCAACAGGCGTTTAGGTTAATCAGAGAACAAATTCCTGAAAACATATGCTGGGAACCAACTTTCACACTTTCCCGTTGCCGGGAGGAAGAGCAGCAACAACATTAAAAACCTGTTTTGTGACAGCTTTTGTTAGCATGTAGTAGAGGCTAATGTAAAGCATCAGTGCACATAGACTACACTGAAGCATTTGCGTAAACAGAAATGTAATCAGGCGTTTCCAGTTCCATTTTACCAGAACATCTAATTGAGTTCAAAAAAATGAATGAATGTATGAAGATAAGTTTTATACACTACAGTGATACAGTCATTTAAGATTTGGACATTTCTTGTGTTCTCTTTGCATAAAATTACATGCCAATGTGTAGTTTTATGCTTACAGATTACCCCTGTTATCTCAGGTTTATTTCTTTTAATCTGTGGTTGAATCTCAAAGAAGAGAAATGGAAATGTAGCTGCCTAACTTTTCCTTTATTTGTAAAGCGATACATAAAACAGACCATTTCCATGTTGAAGTTGCACATAAAGAGAAATACTTCCCCAGTAGACAAATCTCACACATATGACCATCAGCCATAGTTAGTCCATGGCTGACTAAAGAAAAATAGATTGGTGAATGTCCACATGCAATACAATCCTACTGTAATAATAAACATCTTATTTTTTATACACTTACAGACAGAAACAGCAGTCTGCTGCTGGTGCTGCAAGCAATAAAGAGCATGAAACTTAAGTCTAACGTGAACACTGATACAACAGAGAAACTGCCCCATGGGAGGCAATCTAGCTCACTTACTTCTTCATGATGGTCTCTGCTACACTGTTCACATAGTCTAAGTTTGTCTGAAAGACAGAGAGAGAGACAGGACTGGGTCAGTGATGGGGAGGGGGGGGGCATATTTGACTGAATTAATATAAAACTTGAGCTCCTCGAGGCTTTTGCAACAATGAATACACGCTGGTGCTCTTACAGACTGAGACTGTAACTGTGTAAGACCTTTGAAGGCCAGACATATTATCAGTTTCAGTTTGGGGGTTGATAAAGACTCGTTGTGTTCCTGTTTATAGTTTTTGTTACTCACAAAAAAAAAAAACAATAAAAGAAAACCCCAAAGATGAGCAGGTATGAAAGTCGTTAGGTGTTCATGTGTCCTTTCTCTCAGATGTCTAGCAAACAGCACATTATAGTCCATATGCAAGAGCACTCTCAGTGAGTCAGACTGACATCAGAAAAAAGTTCTTTAGTGGCACTGTATAACAGCTGTGTGTCACATCTCACCCAATAAGTAAATCAGCATGTGGGAGCAAAGAAGGAAGCAAAGGTCATTCTGGTCCTTAATACTTATTTATGGTATTTATTTATGATTTATTATAATTTATGACATGCAATTGAAATTAATTGTTTGCAGTAGGGAACAATTTACCTTGTTCACCACTAAATTATGGTGTTTGAGTTCAGGAGTGTTATGAGGTCAGGTGCATTAGGATAGGCTAACAAACACTGATGTGCCTTAGGTAAGCCAAGCCAGCTGCTACACTGCATATCAAGGAATTTATTATAGGCAAGCTAAAATTAGCTAGCATAAACTGGAAAGGAAAAGAAACAACTTTAATCCAATGAAGCCCATCTGAGTGAGAGGGGAAAACCACATCCCCACAATGTGAAACTTTTACCACTGTGCTTGAGATTTGGTGGTTGTTTTTTAAAGTTATCAGCTAACTTTATAAATTAACCACCACCACATGAATGCACCGTAGCTAAGTTACATGTAGCTGGCTAACTATACCTTAGCATAATTGCATCGCAGCAGAAATTAAAGTTATATAGCAGGCCAAATTACTTCACTGGCTAACATAACTCTTCTTAGTAACTTGTGTTTAATATGAAACTACACTGTGTCTAGCAGGAAATGATCCAATGATTCAAAGCAAAGATATAAATAACTTACATTTGTTTTGTAAAGTAACAGCAAACTTACGGACAGTTAGCCAGCTAGAGTGTGTGTGTGTGTGTGTGTGTGTGTGTGTGTGTGTGTGTGTGTGTGTGTG